AACAAAATGTATTAATAAAATTCTATTTATATTATTAAATTATTTAAACGAAATTATTCAATCTCATTATTTTAAAATACATATTAATTCTAATAGTATATTTTGTATGTTATCATATGTACTATCAATATTATATATAAATATAACACATTAATGTTCCAGATTATATAGAAATATATAAATAGTAGATCCACATTTAATATAAGAGAACAGTGAGAAGAAGATATATATAAAATATTAAGGTTACAATCATCCCAAAATGGGTAAATTTAAAATTTAAAACACCCATAAGATATTTCAAAATACAAATAACGTTTATGAATCTAACTAGGCTAAGCATCAACTCATCTTTCTCCAAGACCTGCTCCAGGGGCACATACCTACCCTCTGCTCACATCCAAATGGATGATCATTGCAAAAGAAACACCACACCAAGCAGCACAGAACAAACAAAGGATGAACTAGATATACAAAAAATCATGTATAACATCACACACAACATACAAGTTTAATTCCAAGTTATGGATACAAACATAAATTGTAAACTTTAAACACTTGACTCGGCGGACTTAGAATGAGTGTTGAGCTATGGCGGGTAATGCACTCTGGTGGCTTCCTTACTGCTTTGCAAAGTCTTGCCAATGGGTTTCACCCTACCACACTCACGAGGTTAGTACGTTATCACTCACCTTGGGTCATATTGGAAGCACCCAAGACTAGGACTCCTACTACTCCTCACGACATAGATCGATCCTTTCTAAGTGAGAAGAAAGACTATTGGAGCTTCAGGATAACCCCCAAGACTGAGCTTCCATGCAAATCATTCTAAAATACTAAGGGGCACCACCATGGATCCCCTCCTTGATGATCATGGAATTACATCCAATAACGTTAGGGCACCACCATGTAACCTCCCTTTGAGATCCATGGAATTACGTCCATCAACCATACTGTCACTTTGAAACTTAACTCAAGACATGAACACCAAATACCATAATATATCCATGAATCCAAACATATAACCTCACTGATCATACACTATCGTAGATACTTCTACACCATTCTAATAATCAAAACATAGTTCAAGGTTATAGAAAACAAGAATAAAAAGAATAAAAACAAGTTCTGGGCAAGCCGCTCAGCGCACCAAACTCGTTGTGCGAATAATAGAAACAATGGATTTTACTCACTCACATTCGCTCAGCGCACCAAGCCCGTGCGCTCAGCTAAAGTCCATTCGCTCAGCGCACCAAGTCTGTGTGCTTAGCTAAACTGAAAAATCTGCTACACATTATCAAACCCTAAACCCTCGCATAACGCCCCAAATCTGCTATTCGAATTAAACTAGCATTTTCCCAAGCAACCACCATTCGCACAGCGCCCAGATTCGCTATGTGAATAACCAAACAGAGAGCAACACCCTCTAGTCATTCGCATAGCGCACCAGCTCGCACAGCGAATGACTCAAACAAAGAGCACCCTCGGCATAGACTCGCTATGCGAGATCATTCGCATAGCAAGTCTGCATAATCTGCAGAACGCAAGGCCTTATCTCTAATTTCTAACACCTCTAATTCATGTTTTACACCTAATTAAACTTGTCTAGATGTTCCTAAACCTTCCTACTACAATTCTAACTTGATTAAAACTCAACTTTTTTCTCTCAACATCATTCAACAAACTGAGGACCCCAAACCCAATTCTAAACACTTTGCCACCTATTTGGACCACTTGGACTTAAACAAGTCACAATACACTTGCTAAGACTGCCCAAACAGACCACGATTGGGGGGGGGGGGGGGGGGGGGGGGGGGGGGGGGGGGGGGGGGGGGGGGGTTAGTCCCGACCACTATTTTCTCAAAAATCACTACCTCACTCCTGTATAATAACCTAAAACACTATCCAAAACTCCAAATTTTCTATCTAACCAAAGTTATAACAAATTTCACACTTCAAACACTTCCAATTTGATCAATTATAGTAATTTAAACTCATCCAAATCAATTCCAAACATCACAACACAGTTTCATAGATTTCAGTTTCAGCACAAACCACACACATAAAATTTAGACCTCAAATACCACTCTAAAACAGCACACCAATTCAAATTTCAGCATACATACATATCATACCACAAATTCAAAGAAGTATTATAGCTCCCCTTACCTCAAAACTTCACAGCCCAACTCAAAGACTCGCCTCAACAGTACCTTGAGTTGTGACAAACCTAGACAACACCCTACACACCACCACTTGGTGATCAAGAACAACTCTTAGAGCTAGAATCGGACAGGAAATGCAAGAGAGGAAGCATAAGACGCATGCAACCAGCAAAGATTGCATGGTTTAGGTCCAAAACAGCGGAGGAAAGGGAAAAATAGCTTACCGGTCCGAATGAAGAAAGTGATCGGTCGGTTGTGGAGTCCTCTACGCTGCGGATACTGGGCACCACCTGATCAAAAATCAAATGGTTCAGGAGAGAGGGAATGGTAGAGAAAAGGCAGAGGAACTTGAAGAACTGAGTTCCGAGAGAGATAGAAGGATTTGGCTAATGAACCAGGATGTTGTAAAATTATATTTATACTGGTGAATGTGTTTTAACATTAAAATCTGGTTTCATTAACGTAATGCACCTATCAGCTTTCTAATTCTAATTTTTCAGGTCCTCACAAACACCACCTCTTATATTTATCTTCATGATAATAATAATAATTTAATAATAATAATTATATATTATTAACTCATTTCATGAATTAAAAAAATAATAATTAGTGGCGAATGTATTTCATGACGTGAATATGCTGCAATGTTTAATTTGGTATATATTTAATTTGAGAACTCATTCTGTAAACCAAATCAAGTAGGTTTTAAGGAAAAATAATAATTATAGAATAAAGGGAAAAAAGAGAGGAAAAAGTGTGTCTAGGATTCAAAAATAGATGTTATCTCTCGTGTTGTTCAGATATTCATTTTGATTTGTTTCGGATCGCACGAAATTTGAAAAAATTTGTTCATTTTGGTTTGGTTAAACTCGATTCAGCTCAGCGCAATTTAGTTTAACTTAGCATGGTTCACTTTGGTTTCGTTTGGCTTATTCATCTCAGCTCGACTTAGTTCAGTTTGGCCGATTTATCTCAGCTAAGCTCCACTCGACTCGACTCGGCTCGACATGACTCAGTTCGACTTGGATTAGGTTGGATTGGGTGAGGTTAGGTGGGGTGGGTGGGTAGGATTGGGTTGGGTTGGGGAGGGTAGGGTGGGGTTTAGTGGGATTGGGTTGGGGTTGAAGTTGGGGCTAGGGTTTCATTTCGTTTCGCTTCGGTTCAGTTTGGATCCAAACCCAACTAAACCAAACCACATCATATCGAGCTGAGCAGTGCCAAGCAAAATGAGGTGAGCCAAGCTAAGCCGAGATGAACAAAACCGCGTTGAGCCGAATTGAATCAAACGCAACCGAAAGGAACGAAGTCGAGCTGATTCAAGCTGAGTTGTGCAAGCCGACGAGCCGAGTCATCATGAGCCAAGACGAGGCTAAGCGAGCAAAAGTAAGTCGTGGGCAAGTCGGGCAGAATCAAAACCTAGGAATGCTGAACGAACTAAACAGCACGATTCGTATTGGAATCGAGCGAAAATAGAGCCGAGTTGAGGCTGACCTGAGTCGAGCCCTAGCGAACAGAAACCGAAACGAATTGAATCGAACGAACCGACTTGAACCGAATGAAGTGAACTGAGCCAACACGAACCGAGTGAAACTGAACCAAAACCAAGTCGAACCAAAACAAATCGAAACTGAGTCGAGCATAGTCAAACGAGCCGAGCCCAGCAAAGGCAAACTGAACCAACCAAAATCGGATGAATTGAGTCGAGCTGAACTGAATTGAACTAAGTTGAATTGATCATAACTGAATGAACCGAGTCGAGACGAGCTGGGATGAGCCGAGCTGAGATGAGTCGAGCCAAGCCGAGCCTTATTGAACTAAACTGAATCAACCAAAATCAATCTAAACTGAATCGACCCAAGTCGAACTGAAGCAAACCGAACCCAACTAAACAAAACCAAATAGAACTAAACCGACCGAGTAGAGCTAAACTATCCTAGTTGAACCGAACGGTTAGCCAGTAGGACAGTGTCAAACCAATGCCGAACCAAACTGAACTGAACCAAAACCGAATCGCGCCAGCAAGCCAAACCTTCCCATATCAAAAATATTCGAACAAAACAAACTGAACTGAGTTATATCGAGACGAAACAAGGCCGTGATAATATTTTAAATAACATTCACACGAAAAAAACTTAAATGCCATTTTTCTTTTTTCGGATAATATTCTTATAGAAGAAACACCCATAGTTCCACCCAATATTCTTTAAAATGACTGGTCTACAAAAAAAAAGTACATTCACATAAATTAATGAAATAAGAAGAAGTTTGTTCTTAGTTAAATTAGGCTTTAATCAAAACTATTAATTCTTAAAAATTTGAGCTCTTAATAACTTTTTTTTTCTCACTTGCATGGAACATAGAACAACTAATCTCTTAGGCCATGTTCTTTTGAGTAGATTTGAGAGGATTTGAAGATAAATTTTTTTGTCGTTTATTTGAGTGAATTTGGAGGTAAATGAGAGTGAATTTGGAGGTAAATGAGAGTGAATTTGGAAATAAATTGTGAGAATATGTATAGAATTGTATTGAGTGACAAAGTAAAAAACTTATTCCAAATGCACTCTCATGTATCCCAAATTCACTCAAATAAACGAAAAAAAAAAATTTATCTTAAAATCCTCTCAAACCACTCCAACAAATCACTTCAAAAGAAACAAGGTATTAGTCTGATAATATAATCAACTATGCTCACGTAATGAAGTGAATAAAAGCAAATCGTGTTCATAACGTCAACTAAATCAGAATTTTTGAAAGCTACTTTAAAGAAAAATAATTATATGTACATAAGGTCGAAGTCATAATCATAAAAAAATTGTAAAGCTAACTTTAAAGCACTTTTTCTGCTTTCTCAAAAGTGAAAAAGTTGATTACGAATTATAATGGATTAATTGTATTACAGTAGCGTTTTGTAGTAACTCTGGTTGTTTTCATCCTTTAGGTCTATCCATGTGTATGAATGCCTGAAATTTTAATTACTTAAACTGGCGCAGAAACGTTCTCGCACTATCGTATGTGGAAGAAAGGATTCCAAGCGGAGTTTCAATGGAAATCGTCTGCGCCATCAATTCCCTTGTCCAGAACGGATAGTAGTTTATTGAGACATAGCTTTCTACAGCGTTTCCAGAACCCTACGATTTTTCTCAGGATTTCTTGCGATGGAGACTATATACTGCCAATTGTTGTAGGTAGGTGTCACATGTAGACGTGTTTTTTAGTTTGTTTGACTTTTTCTGATTTTTTTTTTAAAAATTCAACTTTTATTAACTTTGTGTCTTTGTTGGTTCAGGAAAGATTGCTATTGAGAAACTTATGGACGAGGAGTTTCAACGAGAAAGTGAGGTAATTTTAAAATTGGTCCTTGTGGTTGTTCAAGTTGTGTTTATTATTATTATTTATTATTATGATTGATGCTTAGCATATGGTGATATTACAGGATTGTCCTGATCAGTTCCAGTTTGTGAAAAATCTAGTTGGAAGATTAGACCATGAAGTATGAAGCTGAGCATTTCCACTTTACATTGATGCATGTGGATATGTTATCAATTCCTGCTTTTTTTTCTTTTCATTTAAGTTTTGTTTATTCTGATGCTTGCATTATAGGTGTAGTGAGATTGCTGCAACGAGTAGTATTCCACCTCATTCTTTTAGCTTCATTATTTTGCCTTGCATTCATGAGATTCTGCCTGTATGTAGGAGGATCATTGTGTCATTTTTCCTTGGACCTTTCCATTGTTATGCATTCTTCTTCCTGATTATATGTATCTCTATGTGCCTAAAATTTGGCGTTGATCTTGAACTCTTTTTTATTAAACACCCATTTCTATTGAATTCATTTTTCAAATACAAATTTGGTATTAAATAAATAATTCAACTCAATTTACACTTTCAGGTGATAATGGTGAGAATTACAGAGAGAGTGGTCAGCACTTACTTTGCTAGATTGTACATTAACCAGGTTTTGAAAGCTATTTAACTCATAAATGATAAAACACCTCTATTTTATGTTCTTTCATTATAAAACTTAATTCTTTCAGCCAGGGAAAAGTGATCTTATCAGTGTGGATGCACGTCCCTCAGATGCTATCAACGTTGCAAATAGATGCAAGGTATGAATTCTATGTTATCCTTAGCCAATATTTGTTATCAAAACTTATGTTGAGCAAGAATCAACAAAAACTATAGTTCATCTATTCTTATGCAAAACTCGTAGTAAAATGCATTCTGTGCATAAGTGATGGAAAATGCAGTTGTGTGATTTTAAAGTTGATTTGTGCAGGCTCCGATATATGTAAGTAAAGAAATTGTTTTCACAGATGCTATCCGAATTGGTTATGGAATGGGCAGAGTACGTAATAAAAAGGCTGTTTATGATGTATTGCTTGACAGGTATTACATAGTTACTTTGTTATGTGCCAATTTTGCTGCCATAGATTCTGTGTATCAGTTACTGCAAGACCGATTCTAAACTTTACATGCTTTTTACAGCCCTGTAGATGGTCCAGATTTGGTAGCTCAAGAACTAAGTATGATGCATAATATGCATATAGCTATCAAACAGGAAAGATTTAAAGATGCAGGTGAAATATCTTTTGCATATGATTGTACTTTGTATGTGTGTGTTTTGATTGTGTTATGGAATGCCTAAAGCACTTTAGTATGGCTTTTGCAGCTATATGGAGAGACAAACTTGCAAATCTTCGTAAATCAGCCCATGAACACTAATTAGCTTGTTAGGTATCTGTACTCAGAATTAGTTTCTTATATTTAAACACTTGGAATTTGATGTTTTAAAAATTTATACATTTGGAATTTTGTAGTTTGACTGTCTAATTGTATATTGAAATTTTTTATGTGATTACAGGGTGAATTCTGACGAAGAATGTGGGGGAAATGTATGAGTAATGTTATTCCTGTTAATTTCTAGACGGAGATTTATTGGGGTATTGGTTACAGAAATGAAGGAAACTAGCAAAATCTTGTACAGCTGTGTATTATAGTTTTCGACCCCACTTTATGTACATAAATTATTGAAATGCCAATACCTTGTAGAAGATTGTCAAGCATCTGCCAATACCCAGAAATTACCATGATCATCTTGTATGTATTCACTGTTCAATCCCAGGACATGGGTCATGGCTATTATGAGAATCGGCTCTGTTGCTTTATATTCACAATTAAGTTTTCAAACTTTCAAAAAAGAAACAAGCTAACTTATACGGATACTTGTTGAGGTACTGTATAAATCACAAATATGTTTAATGTTCAAAATTAATTCTATCTCCCCTTTAAATCAGGGCTTTTCTATCATGTGCAAACTTTAATATAACTAAATAGTGCAAGTTTGAGCATGATAAAATAAACTCTTAAATAAAATGGATACTTGACTTGGGGATCTTTTGAACTTAGCACTCTAATGAATGAATATAGCATTTTTTAAGTTGTTGATATTGATGTTTTAAAATATTTGCTTATAGTATTGATATTCATCTATGGTACTGTCTTTCCTATTGTTATTTCCGAAGATACAGTCTTTTCTATTGTTATTTCCAAACAAACTTTAGTTGTCTCGTTAACATTTTATGACAATAGTAGAATTTAAGTTATACAGAAAGAAATAATGTATGATGTATGATACATAGTTGATTCAATAGTCAAAATTTGTCCATAAGACTTTTTGTTGGACTGGTTCTAGAATTGACCTACTTGGATCAATCCATTTTCTTTGTTTTGAGGAATGTTTAGAGTGAGAAATTTGTCTTTAAAGTTACATTTTGATTTTTTTTTTCCACTATCAAAATTACTTACTATTTTAGTTCTTAATATTCATTTAAAATAAATAACCAATGTATATTCAAAGTATTTTGAAATTAAACGTGTTGATAAAATTTATTAGTCTGTAGCTATCACTGAATATTTTAGAAATACTCCATCAAAGTCAACTCATAAACTTATCAATGAGATTTAAATAAACATTTTAGAATTACTAATATTGCATTTAAATAAATTACTTTTAAACATGTTTTTATTAAAGTTAAATTATTCATTCGATCTCAATTTTAATTGTAATAGTTAAAATATATAAAAACTAAATTTTATTAATAGAGAAAAAAGAATTTAAAAAATATTTAATAAAAATGTAATTAACAAAATTTAGTATAAACAGTTATAAAAAAAATATAGATTCGATCTCAATTTGAAAAGAACACATTATTCTATTTAAAAAAATTAAAAATTAAAAAATATAGATTTATCTCAATTTGAAAAGAACACATAATACTCTCAAATTACACGAATAGTATCAAATGACACAATATTAATTTTGTGGATAGAAAAAACAAAAATTATCAGTTGACCGATGACACGTCCTTAATGCACTAATTAAATTTATTATAAATGTCAAAAAAATGTGTAATTTTTTCTTCAATCTCCATTATCAAGAGTAGAAGTGTATTATATAAATATTAAATTAGAATATCAAATAACAATTAGATATAAAAATAAAATAATTATATAAAAGAATAAAATATAATCT